GGCCCCCGCCCGCGCCGGCCTGCCCCCTCCAGGGGCCCCGTCCCCCCACCCCCAGGGTCCGGGTCTCCCCACACTCCCAGGAGAAAACCAGGTTTGGTCTTGGAGCTGGAGGACAACTACCACCCGTCAAGGAGGAGGTAAACTGGCCGTCAGGAGGCCCAGGATGCCGGGGATGCAGGGCCTGGGATGCGGCGGGGGAGGGCACCTCGCATCTCCCCTGGAGCCGCTCACACCTGGGTTCTAAGGGCCTGACACGCGATCCTCAGGATTTCTAGGAGGCTGGGGAGAATGGCAAGTCAGAGGCCTGGAGCCCCCTGCGTGTTTCCTATAGGAAGTCCCCTGAAGCTGGGTTGTTTAAATAATCTAGGGCTTCCTTGGTGAGTCAGTGGTAAAGAATCCACGTGCAGTGCAAGAGACGCAGGAGACACCGGGTTCCATCCCTGGGTTGGGGAGAACCCCTGGAGAAGGAAATGGCAACCCACTCCAGTATTCTTGCCTGGGAAATTCCATGGACAGAGGAGCCTGGCGGGCTACAGCCCATGAGGTCGCAAGAAGTCGGATATGACTGAAGCGACTGAGCAGGCGCCCAGGCAAAATGAACACAACACACCAAGGAAAACAACTACATGCACGGAGATTATCTTTCTATAAAGAACTTTGTGAAAATGATGCCAAGACTGAGTTTTACAATTAACCAACACACTTAAATCCTAACAAACAACAGGGAAATCAAGAGCATTATATTTCACTAAGAACTTAAGCGGGAACTGAACTTGGAAAGAAGGATTGTATTTAGAAAAACAAATGAGCATGCTACTGTGTACGCCACTCAGTCCTGTCTGACTCTTTGCAACCCCATGGACTATAGCCCTCCAGGCCCCTCTGTCCATGAAATTATCCAGGCAAGAATACTTGAGTGGGTTCCCATTTCCTTCTCCAGAGGATCTTCCTGAACCAGGGATCGAACCTGGGTCTCCTACATTACAGGCAGATGCTTTACCATCTGAGCTACTAGGGAAGCCCATGAGCATACTATGAGAACTAATTTTGAAAGAGGCAGAAGAGCATTTACATATGACTCAAAACATTTATTAAAGTTAAAAATTCTAAAAGTCCTTTCCCTTATATTTTTACTATAAATTATAGTAGATTTTATTGAATACAATTTCTCTGGAAACTGAGATGCTAATTTTCAAAAATTACATACAGTTTTGCTAAAATATCAAAACTTCTCAAAAATCTTGAACTGCTTTACCAATTTGGTATTGTGCTAATCTGTAGGAAGTCTTGATCTAAATAAGCACATCTAATTTTGCTGAGTTCCTGAGTTATTAAAGGCAGGCAGCCAGGCTTTTCTGTCATTATGACTGCACATATGAGAGTCTCCACCTCACTTTTGGGGCAACAACTCCACTTTTAGGGTTAAAATGACATTCAAACTGCAGCAGGACCAGCATTCCACGCTGTCATTCATTTAGTTGTGTGTTTAACCAATGTTTATTAAGACACATCAGTGAATACACAGAAAACGTTTCCTGCCTTCCTCTGCCCTCTTAGCTGAGTCAGAGAATTTAAAAAAAAGTTAATTCTATAGCAATTAGAACATGATATTTATTATGAGGTGGGACAATACAGGCCATAAGAAGGGGTCACAGAATTGTGTGTGTGTGTGTTGCTTGCGGTTGTGGCATTCAGGGAAATTATAATTCTAAAATACCTCTTGGTCACCTCCCTGTAAGCTTCAGTAAGTAAAAGTCGCTCAGTTGTGTCTAACTCTTTGCGACCCCATGGACTATACAGTCTATGGAATTCTCCAGGCCAGAAGACTGGAGTGGGTAGCCTTTCCCTTCTCCAGGGGATCTTCCCAACCCAGGGATCAAACGCAGGTCTGTTGCATTGCAGGTGGATTCTTTACCAGCTAAGCCACAAGGGAAGCCCAAGAATACTGGAGTGGGCAGCCTATCCCTTCTCCAGCGGATCTTCCCGACCCAGGGATCGAACTGGGTTCTCCTGCATTGCAGGCGGATTCTTTACAACTGAGCTCTCAGGGAAGCGTCAGTATAGTCATGCATAAAATGGTGATATCAGTAATTATCTCAGGGAAATAAAATGGTGTTTGCAAAGGGCTTAGTTCAGATGCTGGCGCTCTGTAAACGTGAAACAAATGGGAGACGTCCAGACGAGGATGGAAAAGAACAAAGTTAATTTTCTAAGTCAGTGGACATCTTTGGAGGCCAGTATTATACAGGGTTCACCAAAGAAGCCCACTTTTAAGAGCAGAAAATACCCTCAAATGCACAATTCTGTAATTAATGCGCATTATCCCGAAGGCTTTCAATGCGCTAAAGCACAGCAACTCATAAGCTTCTCCCAGAAAGTTAATGAACCAAACAAAATTTTAACATTAGTATTATAGAGTTGTTCTGAAGATCTGAATAATTTAAAGGATGTGTGGCAGACTGCATTTTCCAAAATTGCCTTCAACAATATTCTCAGTCCCTGCTGCTCTTCCAGAGCCTGGAAGCTAGAAGGACCTCTGTGCTGGCCCCATGAATAAAACATGGCGAAAGGAATGCTGCGTCCGCTGAGGCTGGCCAGGCGGCGGGGCCCTGCCTCTCCTCCCCTCTCGGGACACGAGTCTCGGCAGCCCTGATCTCTGCGGGAGAAGTCTGCGGACGCTGAAGCAGCCATGTCGTGGGGAGGCCAGACAGAGGTGGGAGATGACAGAGCGCCATCCACCCCAGGCCTCAGCTGTCTGCGTTTCCCCAGCCCAGACTCCAGAGACTCAAGGAACTCAGCCTGTGGACTGTCCCAGCCCTGCTGCTATCTAAGCATAGCTGAGAGACGGCTGGCAGGAGAAGGGCTTAGGTGATGCCAGCCAACTACAGGAGTGGGGAGAGAGACAGACAGACAGACAGAGAGAAAGACAGAGAGACAGACAGAGACAGAGACACAGAGAGAGAGACAGACAGAAAGACAGAGAGAGAGACAGACAGACACAGAGAGAGATAGATAGACAGAAAGACAGAGAAACAGAGACAGAGACACAGAGAGAGAGAGACAGATAGAGACAGACAGACACAGAAAGAGAGAGACAGAGAGAGACAGACAGACAGAAAGACAAAGAGAGACAGACAGACACAGACAGACAGAGAGAGACAGAGACACAGAGAGAAAGACAGACAGAGACAGAGAGTGAGAGACAGAGAGAGAGACAGACAGACAGAGACAGACACAGAGAGAAAGACAGACAGACAGAGACACACACAGAGGGAGGGAGGAGAATGGTAGTCTCTGTCATTTTAAGGCACTGAAGTTTGCAGAGGTTTGTGACATAGCAGCACACAGCTAAAGAGATGCTGGAACCTGGAACCAGTGCCACTATTCACAAGAAACCCAGACTTTGAAAGCCTGGCAGGAGCCTTGGGAAACAGGAGAAATCTTGACGGTACTGTTAGCAGAAGTGTGACCTTCAAGAAAGCTCCTGGTGAGCTTTAAAGGAGAGTGAGAAAGATGCTGGACGCAGGAGGAAACATAACCGTTTTTATAGCTTTGTGGACAGCTTAGCAACCCTGTCACCCGCAGAAACGTGGACACTAGACAACATGTCTCTGATAGATTTTGCACAGTGTGTAGACGTGGACTCCTGCCTACTTCTACTTTCCTGCGGGAAACAGGAAAATAAAGTGGAAAGCTGAAGAAAGAACCACCTATTAACTTTAAAGGAGCCTAGGATTTCTGAGTTTGAAAATAAAATGGTTTCTCACTGGGCCATCCAGATAGCAGATAACTCTGAAGTTAAGAAATGCCTTGTAAGCAGAGATTAAATCCGGGGCATTTTCAGGAAAATATGATCTGAAGATGAAGTCAAAACTATGAACCACTTTATGAAGGCCCAAGAAAAATTCAAGGTGGTGTTTCATGCATCTTTGCAAAGAAACAAAACCACAAGACAGTCTAAGAATATTAGAACCATATATATAAGATATATAACCATATAATATAAGAACCACAGTCTAAGAATATTAAGGGTATTGCCCTACAGAAATCTTTCAGGGGAAAAAAAAAGGTAGAGAGGAGGTTATCTTAAAAAGATTTGTAAATGTGGCTTTGACTAAAGGAGTAGAATTTGATTCACAGGAAACTCACAAAGCTTTTAAGGGAATTGTATCAGCATGCAATGAAAAAGGGAGAGTTAGTACAAGGTAAAGAGGTTCTGGTGCCTCAGAGTTCTATGAGCAGGAATCAGGCTGAGAAAACGACCACCCCCAAACAGGAGTAGCCTCCTGTAGACTGGGAAATAATATCCAAAGGTAAGCCAAGATTCCAGAGCATGGGTCAAATGGCCATGGAAAATACTTTCTAGGCACCAGGACTAAATCCTAACCAAGGCACAAGCAGCATGCTAGTTGTGAGGAGAACAGGTAACCTGTCTTCAGTAGTTAAGGACAGTCCTAGAGGAGCTGCCCACCTAAGGAGCCTGATCTGAGCAGCTGGGATACCTGGACCAGATATACACGTTCTGGGATCTGGAACTTGGAATTGAGCTTGATAGTGGGATGAGGTTTTGGGGAGTTCAGGGGAGAGGTGAGTGCATCTTTGAAGCTGAAACTCCAATACTTTGGCCACCTGATGCAAAGAACTGACTTATTTGAAAAGACCCTGATGCTGGGAAAGATTGAAGGCAGGAGGAGAAGGGGATGACAGAGGATGAGATGGTTGGATGGCATCACTGACTCAATGGACATGAGTTTTAAGTAGTCTCCGGGAGTTGGTGATGGACAGGGAGGCCTGGTGTGCTGTGGTTCATGGGGTTGCAAAGAGTTGGACAAGACTGAGC